TTTACTCTGAAATCGACGTAGGGATTCAGGAATCTTAAATGAATTTAAACAAAACAATTACTGTAGGCCACTTTCTGGCGATCGTTTGCCGGTGTTTTAGTTATCTAGGTACTATATATTTTTCATATTTTCTATTAGGTCCTTAATTGGTTTGTGCAAACATTAAGCAATTGCTATGCTAGATTAATATGTTTATTCAGGTCCACGAGTTGCGGCTCTGTTGTTTAAGGCCGCGTTGTTTTATTTAGAGTAAATTTTAATTTATTTAATGTTACGTCAAATACATAGTGGTTATTTTTTCTCTAGTAAAATTCGCTGTGCCAAACGCACAGACAGACAGACGAGTGATCCTATCTGGGCTCCGATTTTCCTGTTGAGGTAAGGACATCTAAAATTAGGAATCCTTATATTTTAATATTTTATTTATTTAATCTATTTTCATAATTTAGCCTTACTTTCATAAAACAAATAGATACAGTATTTCTTTTATCAAACATTAAAATATTTGGACGAGTCCATAGTACATACCTAACCTATTCGTAAAAAACGAATGTTAAGTACCCCACACATAATTAAAATCGTAGTTGCATGCACGGCCAAATATTTATTTTATTAAAACCAGTTACGAAACTAAGGTTTTGTAAACGAGGCTTATATAAAAAAAAAACAGTAATGAAACATCAATAAAATTTTAAAACACAATATACATACGAGATTAAACCGCCACTGATTTAATTATTGACAATAATATAATTTATTCGATCCCGAATGAAGCTTGAAATAGCGCTATTGACCTTCAGTACTATATCAGTAAGTAAATATTTCAAGTACTTTAGAATACACACACCGGCACAATTAGGGGAACACAAAAAAAAGTAGATTTTTTTCAATATCTTCGGATATCTTGACAAGTTGGTATTATTTATGTATTACTACCCTCTCTAGAAATACACTCGACCACAAATTTCTCATTCATGTGTGTGAGAATTGTTTTTATGGCACTTTAAGAATTTGCTGACACTTGGCGTTAGCATTGCTTCTGATAAGAACTTTGTTGGGTCCTCTGTGCATAGTGACTGTGGCTCATTCAACTGTTTGTTTTTAAATTGTGTACACATTCCCGATACGAAATGAGTGATTTGCCAGCAACTACAGTGGCTAGGGCCGTAACCATGATCGAAGAGGGGCATACCTACCGCTCATTAAGTCGAGCTTTGGGTGTATCGACTTCGGTGGTTCATCGCGTTGTTCAACGCTACAGGGAGACAGGATCTTACGTGCGGAGGCGAGGACAAGGCAGAAATCGGGCTACAAGCACAGTTGATGACCGTTTCATCACCTTGCAAACTTTAAGAAATCGTCGACAGACCGCGGTTCAGACCCGAAATCAACTGGCTGAAGTCCGAAACGTTAATGTTAGTGAACGAACAGTTAGGAGGCGTCTTAATGAAGTTGGCTTAAGATCTTATGTGCCAGCAAAAGCACCTAAACTCGAGCTAGCTCATCGTGTAGCAAGGTTTGCGTTCGCCCGTGCGCACCGAGATTGGACAAGTGAGTGGAGTCGCGTTTTATTCACCGATGAGAGCCGTTATTGTGTTAATTTCGTGGATGGACGGGAGAGGATGTGGAGATATCGTGGAGAACGATATAACCAAACAAACTTCACAGAAACAGTGGCATATGGTGGAGGATCAGTAATGGTATGGGGTGGCATATGTTTGAGGAGCTCGATGGCGCAAGTGGTTAGCGCGTTCGGCTGCGATCGTTGAACTTAAGCAACTTTCGCAGTGGTCGGTCATTGGATGGGTGACCAAATATTACTATCTCGAGCTCCTCCGTGCTTCGGAAGGCACGTTAAGCCGTTGGTCCCGGCTGCATCTGCAGTCGTTAGCACTCACCAATCCGCACTGGGCCCGCGTGGTGAGTCATGGCCCAATCTCCCTATTCCATTCATAGGGAAGGCCTGTGCCCCAGCAGTGGGGACATTAACAGGCTGATGATGATGATGATGTTTGGGAGCTCGCACAGACTTAGTGCTTATTGAAAACGGATCTCTCACTGCACAGCGATACGTTACAGAGATCTTAGAAACATTTCGTTTTCATGCACGATAACGCGCGTCCCCATACTGCGCGTATCGTGAGTACCTACCTGAATGAGGTTGGCATTAGTCAAATAAACTGGCCAGCGCGATCGCCGGACATGAACCCTATAGAACATGCCTGGGATATTCTGGGAAGAAGAGTTCGACAGCGAAATCCAGCTCCCAGGAATGTTGAACAACTGAAACAGGCGTTAGTGGAAGAGTGGAACAATTTGCCTCAATCAATGATCGATGGTCTTATTCTGAGTATGGGAAATCGTATTCAAGCTCTCCTAAGAGCCCGTGGAGGCAACACTCGCTATTAATTTTAAGATTTTTTTGTTAATTTTGTAAAAAAACAATTTAAAATCTAATACTCCTAGTGCCTTATTTTACAAGTTTTCGTAATAAACGTTTGATTTCTTTAAAACCTGGTTATTTGTAAGCTACAAATTTTGATTTAATTTAGTTATTTTCAGGCAATGTGATGTGTTACTGAAGACCAAAAAAATATTAAAAATAAATTCATTGAAAAAATCAACCTTTTTTTTGTGTTCCCCTAATTGTGCCGGTGTGTGTATTATGTTAGTTCGCTCCTGATATTTTTGACTTCCTTGAGCGGGTAAACGAAAAGTTATTCAACATATAAAAAAAAGATTAAAAACTAAGAAACACTTACAAATAAAATATCCATGTTGCCAAGCCTTTTGAAAACAAAATATAAATTGAGTTAGACAAACTAATATTTCATTTTAAATCGGGTGATTTTGCTGGCCATGCCAAATCGCCACAATGAAATTGTAATTGCACCGTCTTGTTGAAACATACACGTATACATTCACCTGCGGAGTGTTGTCCTCCATTGCTTATCTATTTGTATTCTACATCTGTCTAGATCACAAATATGATTTACGTACGACGCCATTTGCAATAGTTATAACATCTTCCGATAGAGTGATTACTTTTGCGCCACTCTGTATAAGTCAAAGTAACAAGGGCTAACAATAGGAATATCAATATTATATTTTTTTTGTGCAGATGGATCGGAATTTTCTCTTTTGGTTTTCACTATATATTTACGTTTTGTCGGTTATTGATATTTTCCATTATCCAATTGATATTATGACATATTCGCTGACATAAATTAATGTAAACAAAAAAGAAGGATTGACAAAAGATATTCGAAAATAAGTCTTGCGAGTTTATGATACAGTTGCATTCAAAACACTTTTGAATTTGATTTAAAACTTATTACAATATCATTAATCATTAAAAATCTTAATTATGTATTGATTTGTATCCGTTTTGTGTTTTTCACAAATAAATAAAATAAAATATTTCTTTACAATAACTTCTTTTTATGACAATTGAAAGGATCATTGGAGTCTCGGATTGGAGTGAATTGTGAAATTGCACGCTTAGCGGCAAACTTAATTGACCGCAGATAAGGTACTTTCGTAATTGTAGTTCTTCATGTTCTTTATTATTATAACGATAATTTCCTCATTCCACAAAGTTGTAGAAATTGCCAGCTTGAAAGTAAAGTATTCAGGTTTCTTTCCAGGAATGGCAAACTTTTCTTTCAATTTATATAACTCCAAGTCTCAATTGACGAGCTTTTTACTTCCATAGACGAGTTACGAAAGTTCCGTATTCGACTTCAACTTAAGTCAAACCCCTGAAATCCCACAAATATTTATAAAAGAACAGCAACAACCGTACTTCATGAACTGTATACATTTTTTAAGTTTGATTTATGTTGATGCTGTCATTTTCTTTACAATCATCATCATCAGCCTAGTAATGTCCCCACTGCTGGGGCACAGGCCTTCCCTATGGATGGAATAGGGAGATTGGGCCATGACCCACCGCGCGGGCCCTCCTTACTTACTTTCCTCCTTTCTTTACAATAGCTATATAATAATATATTACGTATTTTTCACAAGCATTAAATTTAAGTATTGGCTGTAATTATATAAAAGAAAAGTTTTTGAAGTGACAATAATATCTAACGTCGGTCGCAACGAACGTCGTTTCCCATTTGTCCTTTACTATAAAAGCTGATTAATATTTATTAAGTATGTACTTAGATCAAAGCATTTTTTTAATTCAGTACACGAAACTCTACTTGTTTCCGCGTTTAAAAAGAAGAATATAAAATCAAAACTCTTTTAATTTATCATTAACGTTTTATAGGTGCTGAATTAACAAAAATCTAATTTGTTATGTAAAATAATGCATTAGTGAATTCTTTGATTTAAAGATAAATTTTTGATGTGTAGTTACACTTTAACTTAATTTATACAAGTAATTAATAAGCACAAGACTACTTTAATAATTTCCGTCCTTATCAGTAAATAGAGCTGATAAACCATATTTAGCTTTCAGATGTTTAATATCTAATCTTGGAACTTGCTACGCGTCTCTCTTTGTTTGTTTAAGAGCGCGTTTGTAATAAGAGCACATGTCTGATATTGTTTAACGCTTATCCAATGTTCCAACTGGAACAATATTTTAAAGAACGCACACAATATATTTAGTAACGTTTGGAAACGAGAGAGTTTATGTACGCCAACGACGGACGGCTTTAACAGAAGTTTATTCACAACTTAAACTAACAAGTTAAGCAAAACTTGTGTGAAGGGATCTTCAAGCACTACGACAATTGGTAAAATAGGTACTTAATTAATCTAACCATCGTTCGCATAGCTTCTTGAATAAGAATTAATTATGGTCTAAAATACCTTTCAAGTAGTCCACTTTCGCAGTTTTACTTTTCAAATTCGTTCGCTTCGCACTTACAATAATAGCTTTAAATAATTCTTTCAGACTGTGGAAAACTTGAAAACAACCACGAAATCAAAACTTTACATGGAGATTGAAAAAAATAATAAGTCCAATTGAAATGAGTACTCACAGCGTGTGGGTTTCAGCGGACACTTTGGGCACGGAGACCAGGCCCTGCTGGAGGCAGCGGACGTTGTTGCGGATGCACTTGCATTTCGGCGGGCAAGTTTGAGAATACGCGGCGTCGAGGAGATTCAGGAGTAGAAGTAGAAGGAATGTGAGGGGGCGCTTGGACCCCATGGTTGGTGGGAGACGCGGTGTCCCGTGGTGAGTGGTGTGTGGACAGGATTGTTCGGGAGCGCGAGCGCCGCACGACTGGGCGCCTGGCGGTGGTGCCAACAGATGCCCGGCGCGCGGTGGAGTGACGACACCAACGCGTGCAAGCCGTCGCCGGCCGCCCGCCGCCGCCGCCGCCGCCGCCGCCCGCTCAAACGAGTTAGCCAAAGATGCACAGACACGCAGCACTGACGCACTATCACCTCTATGGCACCAGCCCTAAAAACGATTAGCGCTTACAGAGTTAATAACAAAAATATGCAACATCTCACGGGGCTTGTCTTCAGTAATGCAAAATTGAGATAAAAAGATTCGTTAGAGCTGTAAATGATAAAAGTATAATTAAACTTCGTTCATTATAAAAAAAATCGTATGTCATAATATACGTAAGAAATAAAAAAAAGTTCATCATAAAAATGAGAAAGCACAAAGTACGACATACACGCAAAGCTTCTTTGTCTCAGTTAATTTAATTTCTACTGCAAGCAGTTGTTGCAAGCAATGTAGGTAAGCATTGGAAATGCACTTAATTTAATAATATATTTTATATAACGCTTTCAAAATTATAATTTTCTCTACAATTGTTACGTTTATGTTAAACAAAATGAAACTTAATTAGCATTACCAGGTAATACTGCGTGAGGTTAAGGAAAACGTAAGTTTTTCTGAAGATACCTACAATGAAGAACTGGATTTACATAAAACAAAATCACATCAAAGCATCATTTCGTTTGCAATCACATAAAAGCAAGTTTACTGGTTGGGAAAAATCAACTTTATAAAATAAAAGATGTAAAATTTTTGATTTCAGTTTATTCTATTTAAAATTCGCAGTGATCATGTAGCACCAAACACTCCTATTTTTTATTTAAACTTATTTGGATTTAATTAGTTTCTTATGGTACAGACCTCCATTTATACCTACCGTCTTGGTCTCTTGAAATAATTTATTCAAAGAAAATTTAAATAACATAATTAGATTTTAGAGCTGTGCCATTATGTATTAAATTACCACTATTTTTAAATGAATTTCTTTGAACTACAGAGAAAATTGTACCGACCTACTTAAATTGTTTACCCTGGGCTCTAAATAATAAGGGCGACGCAACATTATACGTTTTTTGGAGTTTATTCCTTAAGAATCGATTTGCATATATAAGGGGCCCGGTATGAGAAAAATGTGAGGAGTAAAATTTATCGATGAATGACATTAATGACCTCGTTACGTTTTTGTGCGCAACCTCATCTGCGCACCTTCCACTTTTAGCCATGACAACGGATAAAAAACATTAAGTTGTCACAAATGTCAATAAAATAAATAAACTAAAAATAGATAAAATCGGAGCAAAATTAATGAAAACAAATAAATAACAGAATATAGAGAAATGCCGGTAAGTTTCCAGCACTCTGGAATAGTGATTTTTAGTACAGATGGAATTATAATACATATTTACAAAATGATGACTAGTGTGTGATATTTTTGAAATTCTGTGTTTCCAGAAATACATAATAAAATATATGATGAATATCGCTGATGTTAGATGATAAAATGTGTGACATGGAACCTATGATAGTCGAAACCATGGGACGATTCCTGAGGTATCTCTATTTGTAACCGACTTCTTCGGACTTGATTTTGTTTTGTGTCTGTTCAAAAACAATCGTTTTTAGAGTGTAAACTCCGGTCGTGCGTCGGAGCTGACACACACATTTTTTTTCATTTGTACCACGTTGCGAAAAATGTAAGGACCTTTTTCTGTTATCCAACATTTTTTTTCTTCGATTCATGCTTGTTGGTCTTAGTTTGAACGTGGATATCAAGTGGATACTGTTTCAACGTGAAGAAAGTCACATAAATTTGACAACCACTTTTATATAATGTCAGTGGCGGACTAAACCCGTCAGAGGCCCGGGGCGGCAAAGCAGAAAGGCCCCCTTTAACAAAAATTAGTTTCTTATGTTTATTTCGTTAAATCTGGCAAGTGAAATTTAATTTAGAATTAAATTATTTCTGCTATATAAACATACATACCTACAATATTGAATGGATATGGGTGAGAAAATCAAATACGAATCGATCGACAAAAAATACTAATATAAATCAAAGATAGTTTTTTTTATTTTTGGTAGCGATATAAAACGCTGTTTTCGTGCCTTCAATTTACTGAACTCCTCATTAACTTCTGTGATATCGATTTCTTTGGATTTTTTTCTATTGAAAGCACGGCTAGATTAATACCAGTTGCTCATGATCCATTGTAGATCGAAGATAATTTTTAATTAGTTTAAGTTTCGAAAAACTCCTGTAGCATGGTACAACCAAGATGCAAATAGTCAAGAAATATTGAAGTATAAGCAATTTAAAGAGTAACTATTCACTGAAGTCCCATTTTATTATTAATTGAAGGATTTCTTGGGCTCTACAATGGGCAGCAACGTCCATACTCGTATCGGTGGCTTTTACATGCCTGCGGTACTTTTTGGGAAACTTGCTCCTTGTCAAATTCATCATTACTTTGTATCAGATTGTCAACTGCTACAGCCAGAGCATCATCTGAAGCTTCTAGCATAAGCTTTATTTCAATAATTTGGAAAATATTATTGATTTGTTTCATGGCCCCGTATTGTGTCGACATCTTCTATAAATCGATCTATGGATTTATACATTGACCGACGTATTTCTTCTGGAATTGATAATCCAGCATAATGAGCTCGATACTCGGCATCGTTCTTTTTACCTTCCTTCCTCCTCGTTTCTCGATGTTGATGTCCATGTCATTGCATTTTTTTATTACAAAAGTTACAATATTGTCTACAATGGTGGTTCGTTCGGTCACTAAATACTCATACAAAGCGTTTAATTTAGTGATTCCTATATCAAGAGTCATTTTTGGAGACTGCAAATATTGTTGAACTTATGTTAATTCTTCCAGTACAGATAGCCAGAATTGTATAATAGGTTAGAAAAGTAAAATCACAAACAGCCGGCAGGAGCAGGCTTGCTCCTGATCTTGTATCTAGATTTGCTTTTGTTGGATCTTGAAAATGTTTCAAACTACTTACAATTGTCTGTATGTTTTCTTTTACAACTTTTACTGACTCATAATGAGAGCTCCAGCGAGTATCCGATAAACGTTTTAATTTTTTTCCAGTTTTCACTTTCAGCAATTGCCATCTCTCTGTAGATGACGAAAATAATGAATATAATTTCTCTACTGTTCCAAAACACGTGACGCTGGAAGGAACGCATACAAATGCATGAACTCCACAAAGATTCAAGGAATGATTAGAACAAGGACTGAACAGTGCATTTGGATTTACTTTTCGGATTTTTCGTTGCACCCCTCCATGGACACCTGACATTGACGCGGCATTGTGATAACCTGCACAACGCAATATTCAGTCCGTCTTTTTCCAGCTGTTGCTGAATGTCTTTTGACATATCCTCAGTAGTTTTTCCAGACATTAAAAATAAACCCAAGAAAGATTCTCTTACATCTCCACAATGTCATCCTCTATATGAAAGTATTTAATGATTTGACCTAAGAATTTAATTTTTATTTTCATCAGGAGTGCTGTCAAAAATGATTCCGTAATATCTGCAATAATTATTTGCCTTACATGATCACCCAAACATTGAATAAATTCATTTGGTATTCCTTTTGGCAAATAAGATGGTTTGACCCACCAGCAGCCTCTTTTATATAGGCGTAAAAGAGTGAATTATTTGCACTTCATTCATTCAGGGATTCCTGAGTAAGTACCCGCTACAAAGACGGGAATTCCTCCATAACACATGGAGGACACATTCAGCAAAGGTAAAAGAATAATAGTACCGCGTAAAAAGTCTAGATGGCTGTAGTGTGTTGATCTTGATGAAATTATGTAGGTAAGCACATTTCTAAAGTCATGTTTAGGATTTGATCAGGGGAACTCGGAGGCATTTGGGGGCCCCCCAAGATCGGAGGCCCGGGGCGGGCCGCCCCTTCCGCCCCCCTGTTAGTCCGCCACTGTATAATGTGGACTTTTTTGCTAGAACAACTTACCTAATTCTATTCTAAATCATTGCTGTATGAGGGGTATACCAAATTGCCCATCTTCCTTTGTGCTATTCTCACAGACACTGCACTAGGTCCAGTAACATCACAATTTTGCGTTTCTTTTCAACCTTTTTTGTAGTAAAATTTAAAAAGGTATCGAATTTCTTCATTGCATTAACTCATCTTGACAATAACAAAAACAAATGAAAATCACAAATTTTGCTAATTTGAATTTAGAATTATTATTTAAAAAAAATGAATTTTAATTATACCAAAACCAGCCAGATACAAAATATACAAATGGTATAGCCAAAGAGATTTTATTTCAAGTTCATACATACTACAATGCGAAAAGACTTTTGCCCCAAATTATATAAATTATATTAACTATATGGTGACCTGTTTTTCACTAGAAAAACTTAAAATTAGGTGATTTTCCTAATTTTCATTCGATCATTTAGAAAAACAGAAATACACCAAGTCACACATATTATTATGCAGTAAGTACAACTACTTACCTGTTTTTTTCTTTTCTTTTTTTACACTCACTAATTATAAGTATATTCATATAGAAATACATATTAAACATCCATGGCTGGAGTACAAATTCTCGTATTCATCACGGAAACATCTGCCCCCACCGGTATTCGAACCCGGTACCTCTCGAGTAGGCGACACCTTGAAAACCGGCGTACAAACCACTCGGCCACTGAGGTCGTCGGATGGGAGTTTAATTGCGTTCGTGTTTTACTGCATTCAAGCAAAATCTTAACTACAATTTATTTTTTATTTATTTTAATTTGTAATAAAATGTAGTTCCTCTTTAAAAACTTAAAGCACAATCTAAAATGTACCTAAGTAGAAGACGGCGACGCATAATGTGCTTAAAAATCTAAATTTATGAAAAGAATATTTTAAGCAAAAAATATCTTCAGCTTATTTCTAAATATCTATCACATTTATCAAAAAAAAGCTAAACCTAATTACCTAGTTATTAACTTTTATTTTAAATCTTGGTATTTTTTGATAGTGACTCATAAAATTATTAATTAAGTACTAGCAGACACTAGCAGTCGCTAAGAAGGCAGTCACCCTACGTCGCATGGGTGCAGTATACGGAAGAGGAATTAGATTATATACAAAAACCTCGTCACGAATCCCAAATTTCCTGGTTGTATCTAGTAGATTTTTCTATTAAAAATGTATTTCATGCATTAGGACAACCTAATAATAACAAATACAACATGAAAAATAAAATTTGCCACAGTAAAGTTATGCGCTTACATCCATTTCAGTGATTCACTTTTATTAAATAAAATAGAATGGCTATAAATCATATTTGTCATAACATTTTAATATAATTATAGAAGTTCGTTGATATTACTACATACATTGAGCGTGTAATGTTGAAATTACTTTGAAGATTGTTTGAGCTGTGTAAATAACTACCCAAGAAGTCATATTTAATTCAATCAGCATATTCAAATCTAGTATTGGTCAATTGAAATAGTTGCGCGCTTACATAACATGGCTGGCTGCTCGCAATAAAACCTAATAAGAGTTGTTTAAAAATTATAAATCATTCAATGTATGATGCATTATCTGGTATGTTACTACTTGGCGGCGGAGAGCCCGCAAGGCACAAGCCCGCGCGGTCGCTCTACGCCGCAGGAAGTTGAGGGCTTATCCGCCAATTTGTAATATAAACTAGTGAGGGTATAGCTAAGGCCATATCATGGTCGCGGTGGAAGCGCCGCAGGACATAGCGGAGGGCGGCCGCTGGATGATCACTTGGAGTCATAGGGGGGCGGGAGAGGGACGGAGAGAACTACGCTCTCCCTCCCACTCCACGCGAAAGCCGCGAGTCTGCCGCAGATGCCCCTTTTCCTCCGGGGCATCTTCATCGGGGCGAGTCCGTTCGCGGATAATCACCTTGTGGGTGCGTGGCTACTTTTAACTGGGTGCCACCACTACGCCCGTACTCCCGGCGCACACTCCAGGAACCGCGGAGCCTGAAGTGCGTGACAGGTGACCGGTGCAGGAGTATTTTTTTGTACTTACTGGCCCTGCCATTTCACCGAACCCTAGGGCTGGCTGAAAGGAGCAGGGAGGAGTCCCAGGTACCTTCATCTCTATTTATTTATGTGCATAAAAAGGACAATTAAAGAATTATTTCTTATGACACGACGCAGGCTATTAATGTAAAATGTTTTAAGAGAGTGAGGGATTTTCTATGTTAAAAGGGTGGCAAACAAGGATGTGGCCGCCTACCTGATGGTATGCGGCCATCATAGCATATAGAAATTTGCTATACCAAAAATTTCACACACAGACCCAATCCTCTACCCTGTGGAGCCCTGGAACCAAAATCACTGACAGAACACCACCAAAAGGTATTATTTCACTGTGATCTTCTGCAAGGTGGAAGTTGGGGAAGTCCCCAGATTGGCGCTCGAGTTAGAGCAGCAAATCCGCTATGCCCTACCTCTCTTATAATTGTAGGGCGTAGCTGAATTCTCTCTCGAATTGGAGCGGATGTCGTCTTTGGCAGTAACCTTTACCTTACAGACTACCGCAGAGAAACTTTCGGTGGTCTTGTTTTTGTCTAGGTCAGTAAGTTTCCAGGGCTAAGTTAAAGTGAGGTCGGATATATTTTTCTGCAGTATCAGCTCGGCTGTCCCAAATCAAAACACAGTAAGCGACATTTATGCCAAAATCCATTTTTTATACCATTCTTTTAACACAGTAAGTGCAAACAATATGCAAAGACTCGTTTTTCAATAAAGGCCTCCATTCTCAATACATCGATATCATAACGTCTGTTACTAACACTTGTATATGGATCTGAAGTCTGAAATAAATGTTTATTATTATTGTTATTGTAAAACCAAGTGAGTGTAAGTAAGTACATGAACTAAACTGCAAATTCCAAATAAAAACCTAGTAAGGGCTGATCAGCAACCCAAAATGGCAAGGCACACGTTTTACTGTGTGCTTGGATTGGGAATTGTCACTTGCTAGGTTTTTTAACATGTCCGAAAGACCGTAATATCTACAAATTACACAGTATAGCATACACCCGTCGGAGCTATCTTTATGATTACGTTTTAAATTAGTGAGAAGACATCGAATTGGCGCTAGCCGTTCCGGGAGAGTGGCGGGGCGTCCCATGTTAGTGTTGAATCTAATTTCAAAGTTAATAAGTATCATAAAACTTTTAAATATACAAAAATGTAGACAGTAATCTTATCTACCATCTCCAAGTCATATTGAGCTATAGATTCATAGTTTCAAAAACAAACTTAAAAATCATAAAATTCATGTTGTTTGCTCTACCGTAAATTTTTTTAGAAGTCCCTTGACCCGTTTGTGTGCGTCTTCGGGACAGCCGATGCTGCCTTCGTAATTAGGCTTCACATTGTATAAAAACATCATCATTCATCATCATCTTTTAACTCTCACGCTAGTTATTTCTTTTTGGCGCTAGTTATTTTTTTTTTAGATTTTTTATGACTTATGGATTTATCCTAGATAAAAATCCACTCGACCCACTTATCAGACTGCAATCGACCAGTATCATTCTAAACCAGTAGGAATAAAAAAAAAGTGTTTTGGTGCTTTTGTAGAATTCTCTCTCGATATCGAGTACGGATTATGCGTTCCTGTTAAAAGCTTACAGAAGACTGGACACAGTTAGCTAGGAACATTTTCCTTTAATGCTATAGCTATACTTCATTGAGGAAGGTGTTTTGAATTCGATGGCGAGCCAGCGGTAGATAAATCATTAGAGTGAGTTAAAAAGTTAAGTTCAAATTAAATTCACAATGATCAAGTTTGAAACACTAGGCTTTTTCGATTATTTCAACTTTGTGATTTTTATACTTCTTTGTGAACAGATACAGTACTGAGTTCATCATCATTAGCTTATTAATGTCCCCAATACAGGAGCACAGGCCTTCCCTGTGGAACAGGGAGACTGAGCCGTGACCCACCACAGGGGCCCAGTGCAGATTAGTGGGTGCAAAAGACTGTAGATGCAACTGGGATCAACGACTTAACGTGCCGTCCGAAGCACGGAGGAGCTCGAGATAATAAGTTTTTAGTCACCCATCCAATGACCAACCATTGCGAAAGTTGCTTAAATTTCACGATCGCAAACCGAATGCGCTAACTACTTGCGTCAGTGGAGTTAACTTCACTATCAGCTTTGCTTCACTATATGTTCCAGGTGATGGGTAAGATTGCAGGGCTCCACGGGGAAGGAGATTAGGTCAAATCCCACCAACCACCCATGGCCTGGCGAACCTTCTTGGTTATGCAGGCCGAAGCAGCGG